CTTTTTTGTTAGGAGAGTAATTGATAAAATTGTATTTCATTTTATCTACTTTAATCCAAAATGGTTATTAAGGGTGCAATCGCATATATATATATATATATATATATATATATATATATATAAAAGGTATTATTTGTATTATTAAAAAAATGCGTTGATTGAATAATACCTAATTTTTTTTTTTAAATGAAATTTACTACAGTTACATAATCTTAACTTAACAATATTACTACTTAATATCTAGCACTACTCCTTTTTTTAACTTTTAAATTTGAAGCCTGTTTCAATTCAAGACAATGGGTGAGAGTGATGAAGGTTTTCATTCCCTGGAAGGTTTTCACTTTTTTTGTTTACAAAATATCTCGAAAAAGGATTCTTTTCCTATATTCCTATAAAACACACAAAGTTTTAGATACAGTATAGATGATTTGATGAAAAGAGATATTTGCAAACTGATATTTTCTGTGTAGATATAAAAACATATCACACTCTAAATAATTAATTAATTAAACAATCTAACGTCGGCATCCATAATAAAAATAAGATAAAAAATTCTGAAATTTCTTAAACAGTGACCTCCTTATGTACTACTATATTTAGACTTAGCCTTGTTTCTACTTGTGCAATGGAAGCAAGTTCGGATGATCTCATTTTTTCTCATTCAATCAGGTTGAACCGACACTGAATACTAAGGACTCGATTGGAAAATGTGGTCATTGCTAGAACATCGTTAACGCTTTACTGAAAGTCTTCGTCCCGTCCTGGCCTCCCAGGTGGGATTATAGAGATGATTGGAGCTAAGGATTGTGATTGAGGATTTAGCTGATCTGATTAAATTAGCTCTGATTAAAGTTGGAGAACTTAATTAAGTTATTAAATTGAAAAATATTATATCATACTTATTGAAAAGATTTATAATTTTTTTATAAATAAATTTATTGAAAATAGTTTGTTATTGATGTTGTATTTATATAATAATACAAAATATAAGCTTTAATTTCTCAAGTTACTTTTTATTTTAACGAAAACTTATCAAATTCAAACTTACTGTAAACTTGAATGAAGCGTTAAGCAACTATTTTGTTGAGTGTTGCCAACGCATTCGAATTATTTCTAACACGAATTAAAAACCATACTTCATCTCACGCAATTAAATTAAAATTTAACTGACCCCTTTAATTTAAAATTTAAATTATTGTGGTTTATTTATTTATTGTTGATAATATTTTTTCTTTTTTTTTTCAGGTGAGCTATTAATACATTTAGCTACAGTTGGTATGTATTGACATTGTAGTAATTATTTAATTTGTTCTATTTATTTTTTTAAACCGATCTGTTATTCCGATTCTTCTGGATATCTTATCAATTTTGATTTTTATTAAATTTATTTACTGCATTTTGATTTTTCGCCGTTTAAAATATGAATAAATTTCAATAAATTCGTTTGACTTAAAATTATGGCCGTCAAATTGCTAAATCTGACCAAATTTGATGACATATAACACAAGGAGGAACCAATTTTCATCAATTCATTGGAGTCGGCATTTGTCTGAATGCTTTGAAATAACTTCTTTTTTTTTCACAAATCTGATTTTATTTTACATTTTTATTAGTTTAGTTTATTTTTAAATATGGATTAGAATTTTTTTTTGTGTAAAAAAAATGTTTTCCTATTTTTTTCAATGTCTATATTTTAGCTTATGTTTTTTATTTTCTTCGTAGCTTGTATTTTAATTTGTATATAAGAATGTATATCAGCATATAGCCATAACACCTAATGCCCTTGATTGTTACTATTCAAATAAATCTGTCAAAAGTTTCTTATATTATTTTATTCTCTCTTGATTATTGATTGAAAATACCTACATCAAGAGAAATGGTTCTTTTTAATTGAAAATAGTAATCTCGTTCAAAATCACTTCATTTAACACATTGTATGGATCTTAAAATGGTCTGCTCTATCATTGATCTAGATATCCAAATCAAATTTGAATTTTTTATAATCCCTTGGTGTTCTATTAAACACGAAGAAATAACATATTTGTCTTTCCATGATGTCTTATCTGCACTATTACATTTTTAAAAGGCAAAATTAAAAATTATCATACTTAAATTATATATTTATGGGTTATAATAAAAAATGTATGTCTAGAAAAACTGCTGATAAACTGTTTAATATTAAAATTTACACAATAATTTAATTAGTTTAATTTTTTTCTAATACATGTAATACACTACTAAAACTTAAATAATAAGATTTTATGTATTTGTTCTGAACCCGCATTCAGCTTTACCTTCAAATATCACCGTATGATGTAAGAAGATAAATTACTTTTCAAAGCCCGTTATAGAGAGAACAATGGCCAAACCTGGACATAGAGTCGCCTGATGAATGTTCCCTCGAGGTCGAAAGGTCACACGCAGTTGTTGCAGTGTCATCTTGAGCTCTCGCAACCCTCTCCTTTTGGTTTGTTCAGTTTCCTCCACCATCGCCCCCCCTCCTCCAAGTTGAGAAGGGAAGCACCGCGAGAGATAACTAATAAAGATTAGTCTTCGGCATTGTCTTTGCTCAGTAATGCGCGAGACGATAAAGACTTTAATGATGGAGCCGTTCTCTTGCTGAAATATCGATTCGATTATAGTTTTGTTCTATATTTCATTTCATTTTCACCTTCCTTGAAATATTGTTTATATTTCTGTTTAATATTAATTAGTTGTTTTTTTTCAATGCATATTTTCTTTCCTTTTAGTAGATTTTCTCGCCAAAAACTAATGTATTACAATTTAAGGTCATTGGTAGTAGAGGGAGTGAGTGAATTTTTTATTTCTTCTCAATCTCCTAGAACATGTTTATGGTGGTTTCGGATGTGTGCAGTAGTGAATTCATTATCTAATTTAGGGGTTAACTTTTTTTTTTTTGTATAAATAAGAGTAATCATGGGAAAATAAATCTTTTTGGGACTATTTTTAAAACTTTTTCTTGACATGAGCTTATATTTAGTAGAAAAGCGCCTGCGTTATAATTTTAGAAAAAAATATGTGAGTTTTTAAGTATTTGTCTCAGATGACTCTTAGAACTAAATATGGATTTTTTTTTCGGGATGAGGCATTCGTTATATAGATATACATATATGTAATTTTTTTAAAAAGTAAATTTCGACATGCTAAAATGGTTTTAAATTTGTGTTGTCCGGTTTTTTAAATGTTTTTACCTGTCCTGAGTTAGTAGATTGAAAATGTGTACTTTAATTGAGTTAGTGTTAGAAATATGGCTTTTGGAGTGCCTAAAAATTTTCCCCACACTGCCATTTGTTAGCAATTTTAAATATTTTTTTAAGTTTTCGTAAATCTCATTATCACCTAATAATTAAGTGAAATGGTTGAAAATTTGTTTTTAAATAGAATTAGCGCTTCACAATTTTTTCTCATCTTCGATTATTCCATAAATTAATTTGGTAACATTAAAATCATGAAAACTCAGAAAATCTTAGGTTCCTATGCTATTATTTTTCTTCAGGTGAGCATTAACGAAACAGTTTAATCACTTTTCATCTGTTTTTAACCAAAATGTTGTGGAAAATAATGGCGAAGCTGTGTTCTTGTTTCTTCTTTTTCTTTAATTATTTGTATGACTATATTCAGAATGAAAAATCTGTCCTCTAACAAGGAATCATAATATGGAAAAATAAATTATGTAAATAAAATCAATTTGTATTTTCTGATCTAATGTTATGTAAGAATATTACTTGATACCATCATTAAACATTTTTTTCTTTTTAATATAGATCTTTCTATTATAATATTTATATAGATTATATGCTGTAAATATTTTTTTCTTGCGAAGAAAAAATAACCAAAAAAAAAATAAAATAAATATTATAAGAAATTCAAATAAAAAAAAATCATTTAAAAAAACTGGTAAAGCAAAGCTAATTATATAACAAAACTGCAATATAGCCAATTAATTATAATAAATATTTTCTATTGAAATGAATAAGTCCATTAATGATTGCACGTTTTTTGTTTCTTCATTTCAATAAAATAAAAAAAAAATCAAAGTTCCACACTTATAATATAATCATTACAAATTGTTTATTAAATAAATATTCAATATTTTAATAAATAATAAATAATTTAAAATATTTAAAAATTAGACAGTAGTGAGACAGAAACAAGCAAAGAAATTTCCTCTATGCCCAGGTTTGGTTCTGGCCGGCATTAATATAACTGGCCAAATAAAACATGAGCAGATCAAAGACCCACTTCGCAAGAAGCGGCACTTCTTTATACTTGACACCTCTTCTCCATAATACCTCTTCCTCTAGAGTTTTTTCCTTTGAAAGAACTTTAAAAGATATCCTTAAAGTACTCAAGTACCGTACTAATTCTTTTAAAAAAAATGTTGAAAATTAAACAAAATATTACTCATTCTAATTTCTCACTAGATACTGAGAGTAGAAAAGTTTTAACTGTAGTTTTACGTTTTAGACATCAAGGATTAAATTTAGTCCCTTGTTACTCTGTAATCAAATCCGTGTGATGGGTATGTCAACTACTATATATAAAACATCCAAAGTCAATGAAATATTCAGGGATTATGGAGGTTGATACCTAGGTGGTCCCATATCACCTTCATCAAATTCCATCCACTACTTTTGTTTATACAAGATATGTTCTTAGACCCCTCTATATTTCTAAAACGACTCGTTCGATTCAAGGCAAAATTAATCTAAAGTGATTAGTGAAAAAATAATAGATAGATAGAAAATAATACTATAATTTCATCGAGTTCCATCTACCAATTTCTGTTTCTTGTGTGTAAATGGATTATTAAGAATTAATGGTCTATGTTGTTTATCCTCGACCGGTGAGGCTAGTTGAGGTGGAATGCTACATTAACTTTTTAAAAGAACTCCACCACAGTTCTGATGAAGGCAGCCCTCTCGGCAATAATTAACGAATAACTTTTTAGAAACCTTTGAAACTCGAGCTTAAATGGAATGAAGGGCTGCTACCAACTTGGTGGAATTAAATATCAGGTCAGGCATATCAACTTACATTTCACTCTATTTGACGTCCCGCCGTTTGGTGAGAGAGGGAAAAACTCAAGGAATATTCCATTACCGTTGTATTGCAACCTCTTTAAACCTCTAAACTTTTTAAAATGGTACTCTCAGCTGATCAGTTGATTGATTAAGGCGACAAAACTAGTGGTTGGAAGTGATCTTAGTCATATCAATTTGTACAACCGTTTATTTTCTAAAATTGAATTCTTCCTATTTATTTATTTTTTTAAATCCATATATTTATAATTTTATCCATTTCTTTACGTATAAAAAAAATGATGTGTCCTCTCACACGACATTCCGACCGATTTTAGAAAAGTTTTTGATTTTTAAAATAGGCTCATTAAAAAAAAATTAAATAAGTTTTATTTTTCCTGAAAATTGATCAAAGAAAAGAGTTGAGTACGACTTATTTGATAAAATGAACAAATGTAAACCGGCTTCTGCTAATCAACAACTATTTTACCTTTCATTCACATCTTTCTGGCATAGTATATGAACCCGTAAATGTACATACGAAATTGAATAGCTGTAACTTCGTTAATAGTTGTCCGAAATGAATGACTTTGTAGGAAATTTCACTACCTTTCAAAAAAAAGTGTAATAAAAAAAGTTGTTCATTTATTGCGCAGCCTCTATTGCGCAGGGAGCACCCAATTAATGTTATAGGCATCAGTAGTCAAACCCTACAAAAAAAAAAAAAAAAAAAAATGAAATCGAGCTACTAGTTCCCGAGATAATCTTGGCACAGGCAAACCAATGGCTGAAAATGTATTTTTCGGATTCAGGAACTCTGAAATGCATATCGAAAAGCGCATATCGGAAATTTGATCTGATCTAAATACTTTCTTTACCTTATATAGGTAGGAAAGTAAAAAGAACCATATATTATTACTCACAAATTTAAGCTCATTATTCAATGAATGATTACAAGAGTTTTAGATGTTATAAATATAAGTTTTTACAGAATTGGAAAAATAAACCAATAAATAAAATAATAGAACTGAATTAAATCATTAAATAAACACAACAAAAAATATCTATTCTAAATATCGTTGTCTGATGAGTCAAAGTCAAGCGTTCTAATACATTTCAGTAATTCTGTCTTTGGGTTAATGATGGTTTGGAAAGGATGGTTGTAGATAGATATTAAAAAAATATATTATATGGTAAACCACGAGACACGAGAGGAAGGCCCAGACCTAGAGAGATTGATGATGTGGAGGACGATTTGCAGAAGAAGGGAATAGGACAATGGAGAACGATAGAGGTGGAGAGGATTGGAGAGGCGTTGTTGTGGAGGCCAAGGCCCTACAAGGGCTGTAGAGCCACGGAAGTCAGCAAGTAATCCTGTCTTTGGTTGAGACAAATTTTGTCCCGTTTCAGAGCATTAGGGTCGTAGCGTGTTTTTGGCGCCCGGGGTGAAACTATACCAGGCTCCCCTCTCACATCACTCGAACTCGGCCAGTGGTGTTGTCTTATGCTTACGGGTCATATTTATTGTACTTAGTTATACTTTTTTTCAATTCCGTTCACAATCCATAAATCTCCAGCCAGCTTGTTGTTATTTATCTAACACAGCAAGTGAAACTGAGGTCGGAAATAATGTATGATTTTCTAAACTAAGATGAAAAGGAATGAATAAAAAAGTAGCGGGTCGAAATAAAACTTTTTAAAAGTATTATGTATTCTTCATATTTTTGCCCCTGATCAATTGTGCATCAGGATGGTCGCCCTGCCCACAGGGCATTTTAAATTTTTGAGGACTATAGTTTTTATGTAATGAAATTTTTTTCAACAAATAATTTACTGGCGTAAAGTATATATTTAACTTTTTTTATGCTAAAGTTTTCAACACATAGTGTTAGTTTTTACACTCCATATCTGTATATGTATATTAAATCTCCATCTGTGTATCTGTGAAGGGCGAGCTGTGGTATAAATTTATGTAAGTTTGGTGACAATATATTTAATGTATAATGTAGTGTATCACTATAGTATAAAGACATTTAAGAATAAATGTATTGAGAATATAAAGGTACCTATTAGGGGAAGGCAGCCATCTAAGTTAACACAAAACCTAATTCAAACATTACCACAATTGAAATGGTCTCTTACAATTAAACTGAACTTACTTCGTTATTCGGAAATTCTCTCTTCTCTCTCAATTTGCATCTATTTTAGATCTCATTCCGACCAGCCATTGTTTGAGTTCTCTTTCTCTTCTCTTAATTTAACAATAATAATTGTAAAATATATACCGTCATGGCGCACTATTTTGATGTGTAGGAGTCTCATCTCTATTCCGACTTTTCTTTCTTTTAACAGTTTCTGATGAATTACAAGTATTTTCGTGTTATATTAAAACAAATAATATTAAGAAATAAAAATAACAACTTAACATCGTCATCATAATTCATTAATTAATGTCTGCAAGTTATGTAAATAAATAAAACGCTGCAAATTATTTCACAATGGTTTATTATTTTCAAACAATTATATATCTAAAGTAACATTACCTTCATAGTAACAAAGAAAAAGAAATAAAAGGTGATTCCAATTATTGGACTAAACCTTTTTTTTAATCATTAGCAATATGCAAAAAAAATTCGCATTACTTTAGTACCACATTCAAAAATCAAAAACCAAAATAAAAGATATAACCTTTGAAGTAGAACATATTAAAAATAAAAAACTAGAGACCATATCTTTGCTCCTAATTGTCCGATTTTTATAGGAAATTCCGTAAACTAAAAAGTGTATGCTTTTACAGTCTATAGCAACCCAGATTTTTCGGCCGCCATTTTGAAAGTAAAAGGCGGATTATAATAGTAATGTTGATTAAGGAGAATCATCCTCGGGTGACCTCTGATTTTACATCCAAATTTGAAAAAAAATCGGTCCAGTAGTTTCGGAGAAAATGCGGATGGACAAATTTTTTTTTTTTATTCCTTTTTCGAATTCTACGTATCCTGAAACGTGAACCCTTAAATTCTGAGGAAGGGATGTTAGGTTTTTTAATTATTTGGTCGATTACGATGGTTCATTATTGAAAATAATAAACAAAAAAAATGTTGGACACTGATGTAGAAAAATATTTCCATTTGTTAAAATTGGTGACTCTGAGGCCATTTCAACCGATCTTTATTTATCTGGTGTTGGTTAAGAAGGCGCTCACTGTATATCTTATCACAACTGGGACAGGAACCCATTTCGCAGGCCTTGTAGCAACACGGGTTGTTGAATCACGGACTTAATTCACTATCAAGGGTTATGTATGTTATTCACAGGCAGTTTGTTTCCAAGGGTTTGTATTTCTCTTTCCTTAGAGTTTTTCCTCGAATCGAGAGGGTCTTGTGTTGTGGTCGGTCAAAAGGAGCCAAAGGAATCGAAAATCAAAGGTTAGCTTTTTTTGTTTATTAACGATGCTCTTTGTAACTGATCGATTCATCTCAACGATACCAATTTATGATGAAATGGCTTTTGGTTTCCATTTCAGAGGTGCATTTTTACCTATAAAATTTTTCGAATTATGTGAAGAATATCAAAAGAAAATGCCAACATTTTTGTAATCATTATACATTTTTTTCATACACAAAACAGAAATAAAAAGTCTAATAAAAAGTCTGCTAATTAAGTATAGTTTCCTCACCGCCGTTTTCGAAAATTCAATAATCCCTGAACATAGTTTGATATCTACGAGTTTTATTCATTGGTGTATTCTAAATTATAAAGATTAGCGTATTTGCAGACTGCAATCTGATGATTCGTAATTTAAAATAAAATCCAGTGCATACTGAACTTGCATATCGCATATTGCAGATGTTAGTACAAAAGGCTGTATTGAAAAACTGAGTGTTTTGCAGGATATCATAAAAACTAATTTTTTATTTATTTATTAGTATAATTTCATATTTAACTGCCCTCTGTTATTTTCTATAGTAGCAGATTGCTAATATAAGTTGCAGACTACAAAATGTCATCTTTAGCACAAATAGAATAAAAATTGAAAATTTTTATTTTCGGCCTTTTGCATTAACAGTTGTGATATATACTTAATAGTTATGTTTTCACTCATAAAATGGATGGAATAAAAGCTCCATAGGAGAAATTCTACTTTTTGTTTTATCGAAGTTAACGATACCAATACTTTTCTTCAGGTAGAACAAAACTGATTAAGCTGGAATATAAAAATGTGCGTGAAGTTCACACTACTTGGATATTTCAGGAAGAAATCGAGAGAGGCCATGACTAGCTGGTTGAACATTAATAGAAATAAACACAACCACAAATACGACTTTTTTTTTCATAAACTCAGAGTAAAAATTAATTTAAATTTGCTGAAAATTACACGAAATCTAAGTAACGGCAGTAAATCTCCTGGTGGTAAGTTTGAAATCGACCAAGCAATACAGTATAAATTAACTTTTTGTTTAAATCCTAAAAATTTTTAACCCTATAAAAATATTGTCTTATAACCTAACTCCCAATCAATGCCTTACACATTTTGCAGCCATTATTTTGTTTAACAATTGTTTATATTAATTTTAATTATTAAATGTAATTCAACGAAATTGATACTGGGTAATTTCTATATTATTCCCCAAATTTCTTCTCCAGTTTTCTAACTATAGGCGTGGCACATAATGCATAATTGGATAAACGATAGTAGGTGATATGCCCGATGCATCGATTTGACTACAGACACCGAAGCAAATTTGATCCTTGTTGTCTGAAACGTAAAAAGTGAGTGGAAATTTTCGATTCCGAATGCATAATTTATTTTAATCTCTAGTACGAAAAATTAAAATCATGTTGAAACTAGTTATCATTAATTTAAAAAAAAGTTCATATCATAATTCCTCTACAACATTTTTTTCTTCCTTCACATAAAAATGATATCCTCACAATTATAAGAGATAAGACATAACATTGAAATTATTTACCTGTATTACAACACGTGATATTGGAACCTAATGAGAAATATAGACAAATCTGTCCTTGGGCGAACACTCCAAGTCGATTGAGGAAAATGCGGTTAAAATAAATAGAATATGTGGCTAACTATTTTTAAAAAATGTATGTTATCGCAAGTCATTCTTTATGGTCCTTTATATTTTATTTTGAAATTAGTTATAATAATTATTATTTTTTTTTTATAAAGTGGATTTAAAATATACGTCCCTTATATAAATTAGATGACTGATAAAAATTATGAAAATCGAGTAAATCACGATTAAAAGAAATACTTAATATTTAGCCTCCCATGAAATGCCTGTCCTCAAATTTACATATAAAATAATCAAATTCTTGGGCTTACTATTGGCATTTTATGTATGCGTTTGCCTTTAATTTCAACAAAATAGCCTGCAAGCTTTTTTGCCAACTATTGAAATAACCGTGCGTTAGATAATGCAATTGCGGGTTATATAGCTCATGCAAGAGAATATTATGTAATTATTGTTGTTTTAGTACTTAGATTAAATCGTCTGATATGTAGAAAGGAAACTGTTTTAATAATACTCATTTTATTGTGGTCAAACTAAATTCTTCATAGTGATACACGAATATGTTGTGAAGTACAGACAAACCTACCTGCATTATACTTCCGTGTATCAAGATCTCAATGTATCGAACTTTTTGAAACTTCTTTGCACTTTTTTGGGAAGAGGGAATTAGATTGAACCGTCAGATTTCCAATATGTAACGCTCGGGTATAGCTAGAATCCACTAATTGAAGTGTTTGTATATGGATTAAAATATCTCAAAAATTAAAAATCAGACTTGCATATTTTTAGCTAGGGAAATGTTCATAATTTTATTCTCTTTGTAATGAGCTATTGTTAAAAATTGCATTTTAACGCGATACCGTATTAGAGAGGCAAGGAGGAAAAAATATTGTCGAAAACCAAGTAATAATGAGTTGTATTTAAGATATGGATTAAAATATCTCAGAAACTAATAATCGGAAATACATATAGTTAGCGAGGGAACTATTCAGCATTCCATCCTCTTTATAATGAGCTATTATTTATAATTTATATTCCGTATTATTAATCTGGCCTTGTTGATGTTTTCTCTTCTATCGTGTGGTCTAAAGTACACACCTTATTATTTTTTCTTTATTAATATAGGGATAATTATTTTGGAAGAAAAAGAAAGAAACTAACTACCTATACGAAATGGTGTTTGAGTGATTCATGAAGTCCTATTAAATGCAATTGCACGAACAATAACAGTTTTAGCGATTATTTTTATATATTTTTTTCATATTTTACCATTTTTTTTGGTGGGAGGAGAGGACTTCGGCTTGAAAGCGACCCCCTGATATCCGCCTTTGGTAGAGGTCACACAAAACGTATAATTAATCTGCAAATAAGGTTTCTTTTCTATTATAATTTCTTTTTCCTGTAACTTTTTTTGCCATCTCAAGGGAAAGTGAATCTTAATAATGGTTGTTCAGTCATAGGATTTGATGAAGAATTAATGATGATATGGGGTATTGACTAAAAAACACCTTTGAGAAATAATATAAACTCCTTTCGTCCATAGGAACTTCGATTTATTTAAACATTGATTGACAGCGATTGATTCCACAACTATAATTAACGTGATCCACTGTGGTTGCAAGTCATTCCTCATGCATTATCTTGAAAACGGTGCATTTTTGGGCTTTAAATACTTATAAATAAATATGGCCCTGTACTTCCGATGGAACTAAACGAGTCTTGAATTTCACATCTACATCTTCAAAATTTGTCCCATCTCGATGAACCGACTCACCATTGTCTCAGTATTGAAGTCTAGTGAAATGTTTATATCTACTTTATTTGTTTTAAAAAGGAAAAACAAAAACGGAATTTACAAATTCATGGCATTTGAACATGACAGGAAAGCTCCTTTATGATACAAAACTTGAGCCTTAGTGAAGTGATATCTACATGTTGGAACAGGAATAAAAATTATATTCCATTATTTTATTTTCAAGAATCTCTTAGGATATTTTCCGTTATTATTACTAATTATTATAACTTATTTCTTTCATTATGTTTCGATTGCATTTCAGACTGTGATTGCATGTCATGGCTCAAATTATTTTAGTTTGATTTCAGATTTCCTTTTCTCCTATATGATCGCAGTCATTACTCTACTTATCGCTAGACACCCCACCTGCGCCACCCACACTCCCCTCCTCCTCCCCCCCCGCACTAGCCTCCCTCCTCCCCTTCCCTCAGTTCTCATGGCGTTCACTCCTGATAAAGGCTTCCCCTCGCTACAGCATCCCCTTCAGATCTCGCAGATCCAGATGACGTCATCCTTTATCTGGACCCCTTCACGCAACCTAATTACAGTGAAGCCTTAATGTTTGCTCTGGTTGACTCATCGTCCCTTCCCCTCTCGTCTGGGAAGGCCTATAAATGCGTTCGGGCTCTTCGCCTCCCCCTCCTCCAAAGCAAAAATCTTTAGGCTTCTGCTCCCGACAAGCTCCAATCATGATTTCTTCAGGGAACGATGGCGAACAATGCTTGAGGAATTAGGAATTAACACGTTTCTGTTAGGCTGGGGTTTTAAGTACCAACTCTGAAATACTGAAATTAAATAGAATATAAATAAGTTATCAACATAAGACCTTAAATTATACCATAAACAACAACAATAAAACAATAAATTCATTTTATCTTTCAAATATTAATATTAAACCATATTTTAAAATTTTTTTTTTGCTGAGTATTACAACTTTCTGTCTCTTGGACGTTAGTTATAGTGATGTAGTTATAGTGATAACATTTACACTATATGTACAAAAAATATAAAATAAATAGAAGCAAAATAAAAATCAAAAGTATATATAATAAATAATAAAATAAAATAACCTAAAAAATAAGAAAACTAAAACAAAGAAAAAAAAAAACACATGCATACCTATACACACTATTTACAATCAGGCGAGGGAACTCCAGGAGAATCCTGCGTTACTCTCTCAACGGTATCACTGGTACTAAAGCCAGCGGAGATTGATCGAGAGCACAAAATTAAATTAACAGTTTATTCGCAGGTACAAAGGAAACAAGGCAGGAGCACATTACATGACGAAATCTAATCTATATTTTCTCCAAAATATTCAAAAGACAACATTTGAGATTAACCCACCAAATCTTTATAATTTGATATAAAAAAAAATTATTTTCTCATACCATCCATACTGGTTGGCTTAAATATTTTTATCCCATTCAGATTTCCCAAACTCTGGTAAATTCTTACTCTCAAACAATTGTATATTGTATAAATAAAACATGATAACGTGTTTCTTTTTCCATGGCGTTGTACATTTTAAGGTAATCATTAACAGAATAACCATGCGTATACCAGAAACTGTCAGCTAGAGGAAATTAAATTTATTTTTCTCAAAGGCGATGTTTCAAAAAGATTCAGCACAAATTTAATGAGAGATAACAATACTTATACAAAGTTTTATATAACAGGGTGTATAAAAAAAGGGGGCTGTTTTTCAACCAAATATTTGTATTATTATTTCTTTGATACGAAATACGATTAATACTCAAAGTATAGTCCATTGTTATCTACCGTCATTAGCCGTTTTCCCTTGAAGAAAATGGGTTATGGATCTAAATAAGTAGTAATCTGATGGTGCGAGATCTGGAGTTTTTCAATAAATGTTTACAAATTTCTAACCTCTTAGCTGATTGCTGAGGAGTAAGTTCGTGAGGGACCAGACTATTTTTACCTTCCCCATGGAGAGTAGATCACTACTACAGTATCTTTCGACACACAAGCCATGGCAAGTTCGCGCGCACTTGTGGGCAAATTTGACTCAACAGCTTCCTGCAGAACCTCATCAATATCCATTAATGGTCTTTCGGAGCCCTTCCTTTCCAAAGTATCTCCACTCCTAAATTTTTCAAACCAACACCGCGCAATGCGCTGGTTAAGCACACCTCTCCCTTCATATTTAATAATTACACGAGTTGCTTCAGCGGCTGTGAAATTTTCGTTCCTCATAATGTCTTGAGTTACGAGAATTTCGTAGGATACTGTCATGTTTTTATTTGAAAAAAAAAATAAGTGAACTGAGGCTTTTTTTTTCAAAGAAGACGAATGGGATTAAACAACCTTAGAGATTGCTCTAAAGGTATTATTAGTATTGGTAAATATTAAATATATATGTATAAAATATTTACAGTCCATTGAAATCTTATTTTTTATTATTTTCAAAGTTTTTTATTTATTTATAAATTTCAGGTCATTTATTCACATAAACATGTTCATATATTTTAATGCTTTATACTCATAAATATGAATACTGATAATTTAGTAAATATTTCCAAGACATAGTTCAGTTAGATTTATCACAGTTGGTATTAAGTATCTCGGATGGGAATAAGTCGCGAGCTTGAATGAGAAATAAGTAGACTGATCACAAAGTAGTGATGGCAAAGCACGCCATTCTGTCGCGAACTTTGCTCGGCGCTTTCCTCGAAGTAGATACTTAGCGTCGCCCTACATTTAGCCGAGAATCGGAGGAAAGTTTGTTTCCAGAAAGTTCCTCATCTTAAGCGATCGATTAGGAGAACTTATGAAGATGATTAAGTGTAATTGAAATTAACTGACATCGGTGATTGAGGCCTTTTGAGAAAGGTAATAGTGTAAATTAATTAACAAATAATCGTCTAGAAACCGATATGTTACTTTAGGCGTTTTACTCAATTTTACTTGATAAGAACGATATAGTCCGGGGTACATAGCTCTTTTTATCCATTTAACAACCGCCTAATACTTCGTGAAGAGTTTTATGGAATATTACACTGGAATTGTAATATAATTTGGACAACAAACCAGGAGAAAAAAAGGTGATATACAAATATATTGGACAGTTTGGCCTAAATAACGTTATTTGGATTGTTGGGGCTGCAGGTCATTGCCAAAAAATCAAATATTTTTACTGGCCACTTTTTTTCTCGATTTTTCTTACGAATAAGTGGAGAGCTAATGGACTCTCATGGGTTTTTAGTATCTCATTGAATAGACAAAGTTTGCCAATTTTTATTTTGAAAACGTCCCATTTCTCCGTAAAGTTAAACGTTGTAGGTTGCAATAAGATGAAGCCATTCACTAAGTTTTAGACTTATATTAATAATTTAATAAAACGCTACTGCAGATTGTTTGAAAAAATATATAAAATGTATTTAATATATATTTTAATGATAACTTCCTTGCTTCGTGTGCTAGATGTACACATTAAATACGATTTATTTTTTTTAAGAAAGAGTCATAAAAACGCATTTGCTTTCTACTTAGACCATAAGATAATTTGATCACAATCGAGAAAAAAGTTGATCTTTTAAAAAAGCCAAAATTTTTGTAAGCTACTTTTTTTGTGACCCAATTATCATACCATGCAAGTAGAAATTTTCATGAATTTTTAATTTCAGAGAATTTTCGTAGATTGTAGATAAAAAAGTTTCGGCTATGATAAGATGAAGCCATTCACTAAGTTATAGACAGACGTTAATCATTTAGTAAAAAGTTGGACGAACCGAAGATTATTTGACTAAACTTTTTTTTGTTCCTGATGACTGACATTTCGTGCTTAATTGCATTGCTTAATCCTGATTTGAATATGCCTCATCTAAAATGACACGAAATAACAATCTCATAACAAGCCTCCGCGTAATTTGATTGCTCTCCTGCTCTTAAAAGCAGTGCAATCGAAAGATAAATTAGAAAAATGCAGATCATATACAATTACACTTGCTCTGTCTCGCCCATGGCTTTTTTCTTGCCCCCTAGTTACAACTTTTCATTCCTAAAATTCAAAACCCCCCTAAAAATGTGCCCCCCAATACTTTTAAAACCTCCTCCTGAGCACCCCTGACAAGCCTATTCCAGGAGGACGTCCAGTAGACACATAAATATTGGACTGATATCGATTGAACAGCGCCGCCCCCCGTCGAACCTATCAAAATTTTAATTGCTTCATAGACTGGCCGGTTTTTATATACTTGAGATAAAATGACAAAGGGCATCCTTAGAGAAACGCCTAGTTATTTTGTTCGATCGCTATTAATTTTTGATGGACTGACCTCTTTGCAGCGCTGTATTGCAGCCAGGCTGTCTCCTCTTGTTAAAATACCATATCGTTAAGGATATTTTATGCTATTTATATTCCATTGTATAAAATTTCTATCCGATTATGTAATGTTATATACTCAAAATATAGGATATTTTTTCTAAAATAAACCCTCAGTTTGTTCCATACTGATAACAAGTGTCTCTACCGAAATGTTTAAAAACTATATACATAATCAGATGTATATTATTTATTATGCATAGTATTCCTTAAAAGAAGAAATTTAAGATATATATTTTTTTAAGCGAGTCACGTTTTTTTTAATAGGAAGCAATGACTTAAAAAATACTTCGTTTAAGTTACTAATCATTGCTCTATAGTTAACTAGACAAAATTTTCTTTAAACGAAAGTAGAGTTTGTCATTGTTAAATCTATTTAAATTGTTCTATTGGGTGGATAAAGCTAAGTTCCGTTAAAAAAAAAAATTATTTGTGATTTTTTTCACCACCCATTAACTGTGCTATATTTACCCCAGTTTAAGAAAAAATTACTCGTTTAATAAGATTTAAGTCCATATTTATGATCTTGAGAAAGATATAATTTAACAACCACATGAAAAATATTTAAAAAATTACTAACTAACCACAGTTCTTTTCATTAAAAGCCTAATTAGCTAGTAGAGACAAATTTATCGTCACAAGTTAAAGTATGACTCGGTAATTACAATATTAAAAATCATCTTTTTCGAAGTCTAACAACCACCAACTCTATCTCGCTCACCCTTGAATAACAATGTTCTCTAGTTGACCGTTGATAAACAGCTCATTTTTCATAACCGATATAGCCTCAGCTCTCATGAATGAAGTCGACGAAAGTTGAGTTAATTCATTTATAGGGAGAGATAGTAACCAAGGCATCCATTAATAGACAACATTTTCTTTAAACGGAAGTAGAGTTTGTTAAAACTATTTAAAGAGGGCTATTGGGTGGATAAAGCTAAGTTACGTTAAAAAAAAAATTTGTGATTTTTTTTTACCACCCTTTAACTGTACTATATTTACCCCAGTTTAAGAAAAAATTACTCCTTTAATAAGAGTTAAGTACATATTTATGATCTTGAGAAAGATATAATTTAATAACCACATGAAAAATATTTAAAAAATTAACTAACTAACCACAGTTCTTTTCATTAAAAGCCTAATCAGCTAGTAGAGATAAATTTATCGTCACAAGTTAAAGTATGACTCGGTAATTACAATATTAAAAATCATCT